GAAAGAGCAACTTTTCTGAAGACCAAGGACAATTCCTATGACTGAACCACCCTTTAAAGTGCTGCACTTTAAGGAAGCTGATCTTCTACTATACCTATCCAAAAGTCCAGGTCAGCTTGACAAACCAGCAGAGAAAAATATTCTGAGGATAAAAAAAACCAACACAGCAACTCATAGCATGAGCAGGGAAGTCCGTACTCAAGTTCTTGCAGCACATTTGGAAGAGCTGCTCTAGACATGTGCAGCTCACCCAGATCCCCCTGAGCATCCCTCGGGCCACCTGCCAGGGAACCACACACAGCCCATCCAAGTAATTGTCATCTCCTGTTTCAATGACCCTCTGCTTCTTCTCCCAAGGGCCAGATCCATCCATTACACACACGGGCAAATTGTGTACATAAAAATAAGGTCAATACATTTTTTTTCTTACATTAGAACAGTGTATTTTTTATTGTATTAGCTTTTTTTCCAGCACTTCTCTGGAGCCGTGTCAGGGTGGAAAATTGCATCAATCAATAATACAAGAAATCCAAACACTTGAAGCAGGTTGTTGGTTAAATTTCAGCATCGCCTTAATGGATGGACATCATGTAAATTTGTGAAAGCTCTTTGAATTTAACAAACGGGCTTTCTCTCTTGATGACAGACCCTCCTGCAAGGCTTCAGAAGTACTAAAAGTTTTGATGGCAACTGCTTTGTTTCACACACAGGTGTGGAAAAGGTGGAATGCCCATTTTATCTTTCAAACTAAGTTAACCATAAAACTGTGGCTGGAAGGAAAACACCTTTCAGAATTTTTTTTCTGAATACTTTAAACCCTGTTTCAAGCAGCCTCTGGTGCCAGTTCAGCAGTGTCCTGCCAAACTCTTAAGGTCATGCACGTCTGTAAACAGAGTGACACTGATGTGGAATGTCAAGGGGTTATTTCTTTTGATGATAAAAACACTAAGAGAGACTTCTGTGTGATTATTAAATAAGCCTCAGTTTTGGTACAATACCAAAACACAAAGTTATGGGGCAAGACACTACAGGCCTGTGTAACACAGCAGAAAAATGGTTTTGATGTCCTAAGGACTGAACAATGGAAAAGGTCTAGCTAAAACTCCAGAAAAATGAACACACAAAGGAGAGAAGGGAAAAGAGATGGAAAGATGGAAACAGAAGTCCAAGGAATGCAATCCCAGGAGAGCAGGCAGGGCACAGAAATAAACAAAAATCAGAAGATGAGAACAGCAACAAGCTGACGGGAGGAACTAATTTTCTTTGATATTCTTTGGACAGATCCTAAGGAACAAGAGTTTTGGACCACAAAGTTTCTCTTCCTCTCTCTTCCTTGAACAGCTACAAAATTGCTCTGGATGTTTCCAGATCTACGCTACAGAGGTACTTTTGGGATCTACCAGATTGCTCAGACAGATTTTAACTGCAGGAAGAACACGTGTACCCTCTGCAATGCCAAGTGCATGAAGAAATCGAGATGGTCTTGGCTCTACCTGAAGTACATGGTCCTCATTACCACACATATCAATTTACATTAGTCCAAGACAGTCCTAAGGCCATTTTCAAGTTACCTCTGCTGCTTAAAAAAACATTCATGTTATTTGAAAGTCAGTTACAGAGGAGTAGTAACTCCAGACATTAAAATCTGTTTTGTTTTGTCTTCGGAAGCACTTTTAACTTTCAACCATTGTTCTCCTCCTTTTGCTGCCAAAGAAGAGGCTGCTATTGTCCAAGAGTTGTTTATGACAGTCCAGTCATTGCCCACGAGGAAAGGCCACCTTTCTGCAGGTTTTGCTTGGGTACTGAGGAGTCATCCAGCACAACTGGCTGTACCCAAAGCCCAATAGTAAAAGCCAATCAAGCAGATAAAGTCACATCTATCACTTAGCAGCATCCACAAGAAGTGGGACTACGACTGACAGGCTTAACTTAACTGAAACCACAAGATGAAGAGGTCACCTGAGGGAAGAGGATTGTTAGACCTGGCCACTAAGCAGCAGAAGACAAGTCACTGTGATCAGGTCTGTGGTCAGTGTAGGGTCACACCTGCAAACAACCACACCACTCAAAACAAAAAGCACTAGCTGTGCTATTCACTGCCCTCTTAAGGGTATGCAGAAGCAATTAATTCCCCAGTTACTGCCAGGAATTAAATCCCAGGAAAATACAGGAAGTTTCTGGTGTCCCTTTTTCTCTAAGGAAACTGGCATTAGTATAACTTCCAAAATTAATCCACCTCGAGCCCTCAAGACAGATCTGTGACCAGCCCAGTCACCAGGCACTGATCAAGGCTAATCTTGACAGAGATCACACTAACCCTATGCCACCTCCTCCTAAACAAAGCACCCTCCAGACTGCTCTGATCAGCTGTCCCCTTGCTTTCCCAGGATAAAGAGGATATTTTCAGTTGGAGTAGGAGCATGTTCCTCTCCCTCCCCCCACAAACTGAGTTTTCCTCTGGATTCCTAGCACACAGGAACTGCTCTAATTCTTCTCAGTGACAGCAAGCTGCCTTTGGGAATGCAACCTGGCTGCAAGCTATTAGCAACTCACCCTCGGGGCTTTGGTTTGATTATTTTAATCAGCACAGCCTTCCATAACCAGAACCCATTTCAGACTACAGCTAACACCCTCTGCACCAGCACTGTACCCCCCAAAAAAAACCCCTACCTGGATGGAGCCCACCGATTTAAGGGCATAAACCAGCTTTGCAACTGGAAACCACAGACGTGCAGGAGCAGCTCGGGTTTTTTTTAGAGAGGAAATCCAACAATTCGGATCTCTACTCCATCCAACTTAGCTCCCCCCCCCATCATCCTGCCCAACAGCAACTTCAAACACACACAGAGGTGGTTGAGGTCAATCAAGTACACGAGTTATCACCGTGATCCCTGTAGGGCTTGGAGGAAAATATGATTATGGTGATGATAACAATAATGATGATGATGATAATAATGATAGTGATAATAGTGATAATAATGATAGTGATAATAATGATAGTGATAATAGAGACGCACAGGTTTCTACGAAATTAAGTGGCAGGTGGGAAAGGGAGGAAGAGACAGTGGGACCTGGAACAGGCCTGGAAGGGGCTGCTGCTCCTGAGGGAGAGGGAAGGAGGCGAGAGCCTCTCGCA